AAGACCCGAAACAGGGGATTTTAAAGAGGAAAACAAACCAAGACTGGGGGGAGGGGAGAGGCACAGGCCGGTAGCTCAGCCTGCTCTGCACAGCTTCTGTTTCTATTTCATTTTAGTTAGTATTGTTTTTTAACCCTCACCCAAGGATATTTTCCCATTGATTTTTAGACAGAGCGGAAGGGAGAGAGGGAGGGAGAGAAAAACATTGATGTGAGAGAGACACATCAACTGGCTGCCTCCCAAACAACCCCCGCTGGGGCAGGGGATTGAACCTGCAACCCAGGTATGTGCCCTTGGCCAGGAATCGGACCCCCAACCCTTCGGTCCGCAGGCCAACACTCTAACTGCTGAGCCAAGCTGGCCAGAGCTTATTTTTATTTTATTTTTTAATTTATTGATTTGAGAAGGAGAGCGGGACACACACACGTGCACACACACACAGATTTGTTGTTCCCCATATTCATGCATTCATTGGTTGGTTCTTGCACGTGCTCTGCCCAGAGGTCAAACCTGCAACCTTGGCCCATCAGGATGACACTCCAACCACCTTAGCTACTCCGCCAGGGCTCAGCCTTTGTATGATCAGCAGTGACTCCAGCCTTCCTCCCCAGGAAGCTCTCGGTTCAAAGTTACCTGTCAGCTCTCCAAGGACCCTGCCTGGTGCTTCATTTTCTCCAGGAACTTATGTGAATAAACTGTCGTCCGGCTCTTTTGTAATAACCCTGCAGGACCAATTCAGTTTGTTAAAAATACCAAAACACCTATAAGTAGCGCGTGTGGAAGATGATCGCCACATAACAATAAGTATTAGAGATGCAAGTAATGTGCAGGAGGACTTAATGATATGGAAAAGTTTTGTATAAATAGGACTTTGGTCAACAAAATCATATTTAAATGTTGCTGTAAGAGTCCTCTGGGGGTGGCCCTGCATGGGCTGTGTGCCCTCTTGCTGTGGATGAGCCTCTATTGTTGTGGGCACGTCAGTGTGGGGTGAGCCGCAGGCTGACTGGCTGTGCGAACTGACCACAACCCCTGCAGACGACTCTGGTGCCCGCTGAGACCACCTTTGGGTGTACCTTCTGCGGAGCCAACTAGGTGGTGTTCTGTTCAGTCTGAAGGTGGCGCTGGGCTCTCCGATCGCTCGGACTACCTTCAAGATGCTGCTCAAAGTCCAGAAACCGAAGAGAACAGCCTGAAGCTTGGTTTGGACCTTACTCATTCGGTACACAATTCTGGAAATGGTGAAGGTTAAAGCCACTGGAAAAACTGGAAACCTTGGGAATGTTGTTGACATTGAATGCTTTAAGAATAAAACAAAGTTGTTTCTGAGAAACAGTCCTCTAGATGGTATTTGAACTATCTTACCAAGAAATGCCTTAAGAAGAACCGTGTTCGTGACAGGCTGCGGGTGAACTTATGGACCTTGTGCTTCCAGACTAGCAAGATGAGGTCGGATCTGAGTCCCGGGGCCAGGGGAAGCCACCTTTCCTAGGCTTTGCTTACTAATAAACTAAATGGGTGTAGAAGAGAAAGAAACACCTGCAAATGCACTTTTAGTGTACAAGTGAATAAAAACCATAGCGCTCTGTGAAGCCAGACACGGGTTGTGTTGGTTCTGGGGCTTCTTGGGAGGGGCTCCGGTACAGTCCAAGTTTAACTGCTGACTGTGCTGGGCCTGAGTCGCCTGTTAGGAGCTACAAGGCAATCCGTGGTTGGTAGCTGCTTGTGCTGGGCCCGGAGCACGTGAGAGCCCACATAGCAAACTGAAGCCAGCTGCCACCAGAGCCGGGCCTAGATTTGCTCAGCAAGAGGCACAGGGCACCCCAAGGCCAGCCACTGCCTGCCTGGGGCCTGCAAACCTTTGAGACTTTTAGGGTTGTCTGCATGGGCCGAGGCCTGCTGCCTATGAGGACCACCCCTGAAAGAGACTCGGGTGGTGCAGAGTTGGGTGGGGCAGGGTCTCAGGTTGCCTGCCACCAGGATGGGGCAAATGGTGTTCACTAGATTAACGCAGATTCAGATTTGGTGGCCTCCTGTGCCTGCAGGCTGTGTGGCAGGAGGGTTCAACGCAGGAACAGTGGCAGCCATTGTCCTGAAGCCACATAATTCGTTTCTCCCCATATGTTCCTGGTGTCTTTCTGGCTGCTGTCCCTTTGCTGGAGCTTAGGGTGAGTGTGAGCGAGTGAGTCTGTGCGTGGGCCCTTTAAGAGGACACCCGGGTGTCCAGAAGCCGTCCATCTCACCTGGACAGAATCCCAGCTGATCTCTGATGCCAAATGTGGGGACTCGCCTTCCTGGCAAGGCCGGGGAGCCCGTCTAGGGCTGGGACCCCTCATTCCGAAGTGGGAGGACCTCCGCAGAGGAGATGTCCCCTCAATTTTCCACTACCACACGTGGGTGTAGGATCGGCCCATTTCACATCTCTGCCCCGCCTGCCAGTCTCCATGTGGCTTCTTCTTTATGTCTTTAGTTATAGGAGTTCCGTTTAGCTAGTCTTCACTTGGTCCTCCCTGGTGATTGTTCTATAATTTAGTTTGTACTTTTTTATTTATTTTCATTTTTTGAATCCTCACCCCAGGGCATGCTTAGAGAAAGGAAGGGAGAGAGAGAGAGAGAGAGAGAGAGAGAGAGAGAGAGAGATATTAAGATTGGTTGGCTCTCATATGCACCTGGGCCAGGGATCCAACCTGCAACCAGGTTCGTGCCCTTGACAGGGAATCAAACCTGAGACACTTTGGTGCTGACGCTCTAACCACTGCACACACCAGCCAGGGCTCACTTCTTCAGTTTTGTAATTTTGTGATATGTTTCCCATGAGAAGACTAGAAATGTACTCACATGCCAGTACACTTACTGTGTGTTACTACTACCGGCTGTGTCCTCACTAACACAGGAATCCACATCAATTCTGTTTCAGGTGATTTCCTCCAAAAATGTATGGTGCATTCGTGATTGATTGTATCCACTGCATGTATTCCTGACAGGAGAGAACTTCCGCTTTGACCAGGTGCGCGGGCTTGAGACAACCAAACCCTCTCTAGTAACACTACGTGTTCCGTGATGGAAAGAATTGCTGCGGACTAGCTATGGCTCTGTCCATCTCAAACACTGGTCCACCTTTGCTGCGGGGACCCTTCCTGTGCTGGGGAACATAGGACAGGTGAGATGGACACCAACATGACTCCACAGAGGGTCGCAGGTGTGTCGCTGGTACCCATTCCTACACCCGGATGGCTGGCCATAGCGTAACTCCACGTGGGACCAGGAAACCACACAAGAATATCTCATCAGGGTCGTGGCCAGAGAGAAGCCAGCCAGGTGCCTGTGGCTCAGGACTTAGAGGGGTGCTCATTCTCAGGGTCAGGCAAGTGCGAAATTGGCCCCCTTAAATTTCGCTCCCAGGGCTGTATCCATTAAAACGCTAAGGCAATGCCTCCCCAACTTCACTTTCCGGGGCTGATCCCTACAATAAACATGGCCACTTCAAAGCCACTCAACACGAGGGGAAGTTAGAGTGGGAAGAAGTGATGAACTTAACTGGTGGAGAGTAGAGCACAATTTACCAAACGTGAGCGTGTGCTCACATTGCGAGGGCCCAGGGCCTTGGAAGGGGTTCTTCGCAGGCGAGGGCTCTGGACTCAAGCATGTAGCCTCTTGATAAACCCACCTCTGCATTCCCTCCATGGCTGTCCCTCCAGGTCACAGCTGATCACAGGGGCTTATCTTTGCTTTCAGGGAGCTAAGAGCGTAGGCTCTGCAGCTGGACTCTTTGGGTTTGGATCCTGGCACCGCCACTTAGTGGCATGTGGAGCCTGAGCCTTTTATGTGTGGCTCCGTGTCTCTGATTTTCTCATCTTGTATCTGTGAAGATGAGAGGAATTAGTTCATGCACAGTGTTTACAGTGGTGTCTGGCACATACTAAAAGGTCAATATTTATTAGCAATTTTCACTTTTATTATTAGCTGCAGTATCAGTATTTGTGTTAACAGTATGTGCCTGTTCTCACACACCAGGAAGGGTCTGTGTCCTGACCGGGCTCCGACGGGCTTCTCTGCTTTCCGAACGGACTGCTGACTACCTGCAAGAGAAGACAGACAGGAAGTCGTCAAAGAAAAATTGATTTTTTTTTTCCAGATACTATTGCGGTCAATTTAGTTAAGTACATGAAGAAATTGGGGCTATAAAGAAATGTGCTGTTTCATGCCATGCAAAAGAGAAAGTCAAATGAGCATTAACAATGGACCTGTCATCCTTTTGCCGCCAAATGAAAAAAGAACAAATTATTTTAGAAGAAGGAAAATCACACGACTTTAAAAAACACACACGATGGACCTTTTTAAAAGTTGCCTGTTAATTCAGTGTCCTTCAGACCACGTGTTCCCACAGACACTGCATGTCCCCCTTGGGTGGAGCGCTGTGGCCAGAGGGGCCCACAGCACAGGCTCCGGTTGAGGAGGGAATGTGGGGTACGAGGGGGCGAGGGGGACGAGTGGCCATGGGAACTGGAGGAAACTCAAGCTTCTCGCCCACGTGGGCACGGTGGGTGGAACCGCCCGGGTCAGTCGGGCGGTGCTGTCACTCTCGGCCGCTGGGGAGGAAGCTGCCCTTGGACAGGCGGCTGCTTCAGGCGCCACACCTGGGAGCTGTGTTCGTGGGAGGGGGAGGTCCTGCAGCGGGTGTTCCGAGTCCCGGCGCCGCGTCCACGTTCCCCGCCTGCCCGGCGTGGCACCGCCTCCGGACCGGGTGCAGGGGCCCAGTGCGCAGGCGGGGGGCGCTGTGGCCTCGGCGCCGGGATCAAGCCTCCGGCGGATCCGCCTCCTTTTCTCCCCGCCCGCCCCCCACGCGTCGTGTAGCCGGAAAGCCGGGAGGAGACAGAGCGCTGGGCTCCACCGCGCACGGCCCGCAGTCCTCTGGTCGCGCGGAGCAGAGCGGGGCGGCGCTGCCGGAGCTCAGAGCCGCGACCCTCGCCGGCCGCCTTTGTCTGGGTGCCTTGAGACCTGGAGCCGCAGCTCTCGGGGCTGGGGACGCGCCGCAGCGATCGGTGACAGCTTCTCCCTCCCGCCGGGCTCCAGGACCGAGGGGCCGTTGCGCCGGGCCCTGCTTGCCCGCGCCTGCACATCCAAGAGCGCGGACCGATGCCTCCACAGCAGGGGGACCCTGCATTCCCCGCGCGCTGCGAGGCGCCGCCTGTGCCTCCGCGCCGGGAGCGCGGGGGGCGCGGGGGGCGTGGGCCCGGGGCGCCCGGGGGTCGGGGGCGCGCGGGCGGTGCCGAGGGGCGCGGCATCAAGTGCGTGCTGGTCGGCGACGGCGCAGTGGGCAAGACCAGCCTGGTGGTGAGCTACACCACCAACGGCTACCCCACCGAGTACATCCCCACCGCCTTCGACAACTTCTCGGGTGAGCCGCCGGGGGGCAGGTGCTGGCGGGGCGGGCGAGGGGGCGCCGTCCGCGGACGCGGTGCTGACCGACCCGGTGCCGAGAGGAAGGAGAGAGGCGCGAGGGTTGCGGGGACCCGGGGGGGCTGCAGGATCCCCGGCCCGGCTCCAGCCAGCGGTCTGACCGAGTGCGGAGTGCGGGCTAGTCTCTGGGCCTTGGTGCCCAGAGAGCGCGGAGAGAACGGGGAGCCCCCAAACCAGAGACCGAGGAGGGGGTGGGAACGGGAGCCGGAGCCTATGCAAACGAGAAATTAGCGGGAATCAAACAGGTCGAGTCCAGGTTGCCTGGTCAGTTGGCTGCGTGGAGAAGTTGCGTCAGGTCGACGTAGCTGGCGCTGTGCGGAGTTTCACTAGGAAGGGGACGCGCAGGTGCCATTACCTGTGGCCTGTAGTGTTGGTCCTTTCCGTTTGGCGGCTCCTCTCGCGGGGGGGGGGGGGGGGGGGGGGCATCTCCACTTCAAAGAGCGGCGGAGAGGACGAAAAAGAGTTGATTTAGTGGAAATAGTATTAGCTGCCCTGGTGAGGGCTTAGGTTTGGATTAAGCCTGGAGAGTAAACATGATTTCTTTCTTCCTCGTCCCCCTCCCCTGCCCTGACCGCCCCCACTTCCACTATCTCTTTAAGCTACTTAGAGCTCTTATGCATGGGGTGCTTTGTTACACGGTTTGGTACATAGGGAGATAAAGGAATCCTTGATTTTCAGGTCTTTCTGAAATTTAGGAAAAAGTTAAAATCCACAGAAGCTAGTGTGAAACGCTCGCTCTCTCGTTCTTAAAAAAAAAAAAATGCTTCTCAGCGACTTGGAAATCAAGGGCTTCCTTTTTTTTTTACATCTCAAGGTACCCTTGATAAACTGCTATGCCAAGGATTTCCCACCTAAATGGCATTGTTGTCTTCCCTTATTTTTTTATTCCATTGACTAGTATAAATATTTATAAACAATCTATAAAGTTCTATGGAGACAGAACTGAGTGCATAATTCAAGTAGAACCCTCCAAGCCTGGACCCATGCCGGTCCCTCCCCGGAGACCCCAAGCCCCTGGAAAGGTGGGCACTCTTTCTTTCTTTCCACCATCCTCCCTGTGAGCTGACATGGAGAGATAAGTAGTGCCCTCTTTTGTAAACAGGACAATGCAGGCAGCCAGTGTTTACACATGTTCTCAAAACAAGCTACAGTTTTATGATAAACCCTGACGTCTCTGACTGTTCCCCAAAGGAAAACAGTTCTTTGTGAGGTTTTCCACTGATTTAAAGCTGCAGGGTTGGTTCCCACTTACCCTCCTGTGTTGTTTTTAGTTTTTTTTTGAAACGGGTGTGAGAGCAAAGTAAATCTTCTGAACGAGGAGGAAAGCGCAGGCCCCTCTGGGGTGCCCCCAGAGGCTCAAGGATTTGCCGCTTCATCCTTGGCCGTGGTCGGAATCGGCAGCCCTGGAGGGTGGTTTACAAAAATGCCTTGTGGGCCTCCTTGTTTTAGGAAAGGTTTCAGTTCATTAGGGGACCCAGAACAGGAGCTGAAGGGTCTGAGCGAGAATGGTGGTGCAGGCTAACACTATTACTCTTGGGAAAGTAGTTGAGAGACTCCCCCTGACAGTCGTTTTGGTCTTGTTTTTAAGCTGTGGTGTCCGTGGATGGGCGGCCGGTGAGACTCCAGCTCTGTGACACCGCTGGACAGGTCAGTATCATGTCGTTGCTCAGTGCTGGGAAGGGGAATGGCCTTTAAAAGGTCTCCAAACAACCTTCCTGAATAATTGGGTAATTCTGAAGCCTCGTGCAGGAGCCCCACCCTGCCGTTGGCCCCTGTCAGAGGCTGGGGTGGGGGAGACGGCTCCGCACTAAAGAACCTGGGTGTGGCCAGCTTTGCATGGGCAGGACCAGAAAACAGGATCAAGAATGGATCTTATCTCACAGGAGTTTTTGATCTTATTTACTTTCTGGTTTTATTAAAAACTATCGGTGATGCTTTAGAATCGTTTCCCAAAGTAAGTTGGTAAAATCTTAGAATCAATGTATGAAAGATCAGCAAGCCAAATGTTTCAGAAATTTACTCAAGAAGAAGACAGTTGATGTCAACAGTGTGACTGCTTGGCCTGCTGAGCTGTGGTGTGACCCACCAGGGCCACCGCCGTCCTTGGAAGCTGAGATACAATGGCAGGAGCTGTCCTGATTGGGAGGAGTAACCGAACCGGAGCTCAGTCTTTCAGATCATGAACATTTATTCTTGTTGTAAGGGCCAGGCACTTGGATGAACAACCCGGGACTGATGGGGAGGATACAGGTGTGGGGACCCCCTTGGGACATCCCCAAGAGCTCCAGGAGCTCATCATCACCCAGTCCTCCTTGGCACGGTGCTCAAGTCACTGAAGTTTCTGTTCTCCGTAGCACCGTGCCATCTCTTGACTTTGCCGCAATGACAGTTTATAAACGCGTAGGTTGTTACTAGTACTCGAGAACCAGTAGCTGCTAGGGTTAGGGCAGGTGGCGTTGTGGGCAGGTGAACGCACTTGCTTGCTCGCTGAGGTGTTGTCACATGACCGTGACGTTGAAGTTGGCTTCCAGTACGCCCAGTGCCTCAACCAGCAGGGCTTCTGGGGCAGCCAAGCCAGAGTTTTCTTTTTCAAACTCAAGGGGACACAAACCGCTTTGGCGGTGGCCACAGCGGCGTGCGTGGTGATCCAGCCTCTTCCGTTCTGGCCTCGCCCCACCCCTGGAGCAGAAAAGTACAAGAAACCAAACACAATCTGTATTTTATTGCCTGTGGAAAAGAAAAACCAAAGGGCACAAGCTCCTCTGATACTTAATCTTTCTGAACGCCTTGCTGGTTTTTATCATTCAAGCTGAATTGCTCCGTATAAAGCGAGAATGTTTTTCCTACTACGGGTCAGACTTTCTGATCTTTAAAGTAGAGGCGGAGTAGTAGCACCTCGATAAATAGTGACCTCCCCGCTGAAGCGAGAAACGGCAACTTGATAGCCTGAGAATAAAGTGGAAGGTAGAAAGGCACAAGAAACCGAAAGCACGGTCATCAAGGACCGTTTAAGGGTCGAGCAAGCAGCTCCGGGCCCGCCTGGCCCACCTGTTGGTTCTCCTGGGCCCGGGTTCACATTTGGTACCTGCACAGTGGCCAACACGTGCTAGGGCTTGGTCACAATGAAGGGAGCCTTAGGTTCTGGGCACTGCAGACTTCAGTCAGGGGCCTGCCCCTCAGTGCACAGTCCGCAGGACACAAACCAGTTAGTGGAGCTTGTGCAAGAAACCAGTGAAGTTACATGAGTAGGAAGACGCTGTGGGCTCAGGGTACAGGACAGGGGATCGAGGAGGAAAACCTCAGAGCAGTTTTGAAAGAGGAATAGGACTTTCACCAGATAAAAACTTTGTAGAAATGATCCGGAATTATCAAAGAAGTGTTTGATTTTTTTTCTTTTTTTTTCTTATCATGGCCTTTTTAAAAGACAGAGAAACATGAGAATCGTTTTAGAAATCTTTTCATGAAAGACATTTATTTTTAGGGAATAAAGGGTTTGGGTGCTACATTGGTAAGCTTTGGTTTATTTGGAATTTATTCTTCTCGTCTCCCGGCAAAGTTTTCCTTGAAATTTATCCCATTTCTTATCTGATGTACTGGTTAGTAAAATATATGAGATGATGTAATAATGAGGTTCCTCTCTAAAGATTTGTAGAAAACCAACTGTAAAAACTATGAAAAATACACAGCTGGTAAGATAAAGTCCGTTTTTTCCTGTGCCTCAAGTATCATTTAATACTGGTTTCGACTGTTAGCAAAGCTGGCCAAGGTGGTTGTCCTTTCCTACCCAACCTTCTCCAGAGCTGATAAACTACCTTTTAAGGGAGTTGATTTTACTCCTGCTGTATTTACTTAGTGCTGACTCAGCCAGTGGAACTCCCCTCCTCCAGGCAGGCCTCATGATTTACAGTGACAGGAGCCATCTCCACTTCCAGCTCCAGCACATGTGAGCACAGGTAGCCATAACCTGTTGCCCAAATGCAGCTTTCTAGACGCTCAGAGCAAGACTACTGCTTTACTGGCTGGAAAAATCTCTCGAAATTGCTTCTGGTGCCCTTGGGTTTTCTTGTTAGGGGGGCTAGGTGAATATATAAGACGTTAAAAGGACTTTTTAACACTGGACTCAGTCTCACTCAAGGGAACAATCACTCAGAGACCGGGGACCTTGGGAAACAAGCCTTTGGCATAAGAGAAAGGGGGTATCGCTGAAATAAGACTAGTTCATTGTAGCACTGCCAGTAGGAGCTGCAAATTCTCCAGCCTTTTGACCCATGAGGCACATGGAAAAATCTTTCTACTAAAGAAATAAATAAATAATCAGATTGCAGCTTGACCGACACCGCTATCCGGTAGCCTGTGTGCCGACCGTGCCCCCGAATCAGAGCCTCCCTGCAGACCTCGGGAGGCTCCCCGAGCGCTGGGCCCGAGGACACATTTTCTGGAGGCTCCATTCCCATTGGCCTCGCCGCACATATGTGTGTTGCATTTATTTCGGCACATAGCTAAGGTTTCTGGTCAGGCACAGAGCAGGGGGGTTTAATTTCTGCTTTGCTTCCCGAACCCCTTAGCCAGAATCTCAAGGGGTCTGGGGAGCCCGTTTTCCAAAGCGCCATCAGGCCCAGCCCCTGTGCTTGCCTCTCTCTGTGTTGGAAATGCAACCCCAGATTCCAGGGCACGGCCAAGGGTGACCGCCTTCCAACAGCGAAGTCCGGCTGCCTGAGGGAGCTGACCTCACACCGGGCTCAGTTTTATGCCCCTTCCTTTGAGGCCTCCGAGAACAGAGGGCGCGTTTCATGAGCAGATCCTCAGAGCGGGGCCGGAGTCCACCTGGTTGAGTCTCTGTGTCGATTCTTTCAGCACAAAGCTGGCACTGAGAAACCCAGCTCGTTCCTTTGTGACTCTGGCTTGTAGACGCCTGATGGCGGGCGGGGACACTCTGAAATGCCGTCGTCATTCCTGGGCACGTTAACTGGTCGACTTGAGCATCTTTAGGTGCCTGCGGCCCCACCATCGGAAAATAGAGCCTCAAATGAAGAAAGTACATTCAAATAAAACACGTCCAGGTTTCCTTCAGTCTAGGAAAAAAGGACTATTCTGCAGAATAGTGTGCGCAGGGGTAGCAGTTCGTAAATAATCAGAGCATGCCAGTGAGTAGCAAAAACCTGCGTGACATTGAACGTTTCCTTGCCACTGGGACATTCCTGTCACATTACACCTGAGGATGCTTGGCAGCCACAGAGAGAAATGTGAAATAGGAACGAGATGATGGAAACATCTTCCTGTGAGTTGAGTGAAAGCGTTCAGTTGGCCGAATACAGTACTACAGGGGACCGCAGGGTGTGAGATATAAGACACCCTGATTTGGTGACAGATAATGTCTACGAGAGCCAAGACCATGTCTGTCTGTCCCCAGCCGAACCCCTGGCCCTGCACGGTGCCTGGTGTCCAGCATGCGCTCTGTTAGCTGGGGGACTGCAGGAGCATATAATCAGCTCTGACTTGTTCCGTCCAGGTCTATACCTTAAGGGTAGATGGGTGTGTCCTTTCTCTGGCCCTTTATCTTCCCAAAGCATCGTGCATGGAGGCCTCTGGTGCGGGCAGAGGACGAAGGCAAAGAAAGTAAGAGAAAGGGAAGGAAGGAGGGGAAAAGAGAGGATCAAGCAAGAAGAATGAGGTACATCGAGAAAGAGTGAAAATGCATTGACCGTATTGTAAATGCTGTTAAGAGCCACAGGTTCTTTGAGCTGTCAAAGAGCGTGGCCTAACAGGGTCCTCGACGTCAGTGCTGGGTCTGTCCTTGTGTGTGATTAGCTTTACTTTCTGCGCTGTGTGTGCCCTGGTGTGCACAGTGCAGGTGGCATGAAATGGGCATGGCTCACAGCTGTCATGAGGGCTGGGTTCATAAAGGCAGGAGCTGTGTTGATAGACTGGGGCTCCTGGGGTCAGCAGATTTCTTGGGGATCAGCATGGATGCTGTCTACATTCTAGAAGAGTAGCTCAGTTGCTCTAACCTGAAGGCTAAGGTCAATTTTATTTCTAAAATCCATCTAATTTAAGTACTTTTTCTATGGTAAGGTACCAGTAGGGCATGAGCGTTGATGAAATGTTGAACACATTTGGCGGATTCCGAGCATCTGGGGGTACGGGCCCCACTTAGAGAGCAGCAGCCTCCTCTCTAAGACACGGGCTCTTCCTTCCATAACCAGGGGGTTTTCTATGACCTGCCAGACCCTTTCAAGAAAAATGTTAGGGTGGTCTTTCTGCCAATGAGATGGATTTGATAATAACCTGGTGCTTTGACTGGTTGCAGGATGAGTTCGACAGACTCAGGCCTCTGTGCTACACCCACACGGACATCTTCCTGCTGTGCTTCAGTGTGGTCAGCCCTTCCTCCTTCCAGAACGTGGCTGAGAAGTGGGTGCCCGAGATTCGGCGCCACTGCCCCAAGGCCCCCATCATCCTAGTGGGAACCCAGTCGGATCTCAGAGAAGATGTCAAAGTCCTCATCGAGCTGGACAAGTGCAAAGAGAAGCCGGTGCCCGAGGAGGCGGCTAAGTTGTGTGCCGAGGAGATCAAAGCCACCTCCTACATCGAGTGCTCCGCCTTGACTCAGAAGAACCTCAAAGAGGTCTTTGACGCGGCCATCGTCGCTGGCATTCAATACGCGGACACGCAGCAACAGCCAAAGAAATCCAAAAGCAGGACTCCAGACAAAATGAAAAACCTCTCCAAGTCCTGGTGGAAGAAGTACTGCTGTTTTGTATGATGCTGGCAAGAACCCCAGAAAGACTTTTCAGATGAAATCAATATTAGAAGCTATATTAGCTGCAAGACTCCTTTTACTGTGTGCAACCTGTATAGAGAAGGTGTGTGTGTAGGAGGGCTTCTCCCTTGATGTATTCTCTCTTGCCTTTGATTTTCTTACTGTCTGAGCTTAGGGATGAGACTCTTATGCAGTGTATGTTTGAAGTAAGTTCATCATTTTTCATAACTTTGGACAGTTAGAGCTCTAGACCTTTGGACTGATTTCTATTTAATATGAAAAAGACACCTCAGATCTGGGTGTCAGGAGTGAAATTCTGCTGCATTATAATGTGCAGAAGGAAGTGGTGTGGTTAACTGCCCCTTGGTCGCGAGCTACTCCATGCACAGTACATTGTATGCACAGGCCAGCTCTGGGCAGAACGCTCTTAGCTTTGAAACTCTATACTTTTTATTCTTTTTTTCAAGGAGCAAAAATCAGAAAAAAAATGAGAGACTGCTGCTTACAAAACCTCAAACCAGTCACTATGCGAACACTCGGCTGCTCGAGATTTAAACACAACCATCCCACTAACTCTAGAGCACGGTGTAGATCAAAAAGGAAAACTTGCTTAATGGGGTTTTGCATTCTTCGACAGTTTATGTTGATCCTGGAGAAACACGGCCCCGACGGCATGTGGACTGAAGCAGGTGTTCGTCAGTGACACTGAGGTTCTCCGGAGGGCCTGAGTCGCCTTGAGATCGGAGTGTGATGTTAGCTGTGAGCACACATGTACCAAGCTGCCTATTCCCTGACTTTTGTAACTTCCACGTGAAAGTTGTCCCGCCTGCAGGATGGGAGCACCCCGGAAAGGCCTGCAGCACAGGTCTGTGGGACGCACGATGTACTTTTCCTTACGTCAGCCAGAGCATACTTGTACACCCCCACACGTATGTACATACGGCTGCATTTGCTGCTGATTCAGACTTGTCAACCACGAGTGGGAAGAAGCACGGGCCAAAGCAGATGGACGGAAGCATGGCTTCCTCTTTTAGTGAACACTTTCATTTTTCTGAACAAATTCCTTTTTTTATTATAACCTAGAGATGATTGTAAGGGTTCTTAACATATTTCTGAGACCATCCTAAACCACGAACGCCTCTCAAAACCTGTTGTAAAATCTAGTAGACCAGCCGGTTCGGTCCGCAGCCTTTCAGGGAAGTGATGCGAAGAGCTGCATGTCGGGGATCGGGGTGCCCCGTGGCCCCCAGGGGCAGGGTGCACGCAGGGACCACAGCACCCTGCTCAGCTGCGTCCTCACGTGGAGGCAGCTCGAAAACCACCTGTTTGTGAAATACCCCTATTCTTCGAGGTGGCAATTTCTAGCGCTTAATTTTCTGGAGGGTGAACTCGCCACGTGGGGAGAGCAGGCTTCCTGTAACGGGAGGGCCTCCGCCTTGCCAAAGGCCAGCCTCACGCGTGACGCGGAATGTCAGGCCTGGGTCGGGTGGCGCGGATTTCCCCAAACCGAAACCACTTTACTGGGATACCTCCGTAGGGCCAGCGGAGGGAAGAGTTTTATCTTTGGATTCTGTGTTGTCTTTTTTATGTTTAAAAAAAAAAAAAAAAAAAAAAGCCACCTCGTGTTTTTCCATAGAAAAGGTAAAAGATTAGGTTATGCTTTAGGCTAAGGGCTTCTTTATTTCTATTAGTCAATAAAATTAATTAATTTCTTTGTTTAAATAAAATACATAGACTGTTTACTATTTATTTTTCAACCCACTGAAATCGCTATCAGTGGGAATTCCCGAAAGTGTTTAGTTATGACCTGAGTGAATAAGGTGACTGCGTTTCAATGTCCCCAGCAGACCTGATGAAATGCATCGCGAGCATGTGCGGGCTCAGCCGTCTGTGGGAAGCCAGATGCCGGACTTGGTGCTCCTGTCCCCTTTGCAGCAGGGGGGAGGGGGTTGGGGGCAGTTATTTGACTGGTAAATAAGTTTAAACAGTATTTTATATTTAAGCAAGTGTCATGGAATCCAATGCAAATGAATTTTTAAGGAAGAACGCAAAACTTGAAAGAAGTTTTATGCATATGATAGCATGGGGGCCGCGCTTGGCACCTTCTGCCTTTAGGGTCACCGGTGAAAAGTGGTTAGTGCAGAAGGCCTGCGTGGCCCAGTTCTGAGAGCTTCACCCCAGTGGTTTATTTTTAACCCAACTTGGTACAAGCTGTGCCGCTTAGCGCTGGAAATCTGGAGGGTTGACATTTAAATGCTACAGTTCGGTGTGTGGCTGCATTTTATAGAACACTAAAGGTACGATTCATTATACTCGAGGGGTTCCTCCGTTCTTATTCCTTTGTGAAAAAAGAGATTTGGGCAGAGAAGTTTTTTAAAGCATGTGCTTGAGTGAAATATAAAGCTGATATACTTAAAAGCTCACACATTGTTAAACTTGAAGCTTGGTGTCACACAGGAGATTTTATGAGTTGTGCTTTAGAAAATGTCACGTTAGCTCAACCCCTCGGAGTAGGCTGGCCCAAATCTCAAAACACAATATATTCCCAGACTGTGGTATCTCCCTTTGCCGTGTGTATGGGCACGGACCTTTTGTGATGTTCTCTGTGCTTGACGGACTTCAGAGAAACCACCCAGGTATTGCACAGGCCCATCTGAGGGCAAGGTCTTCTCCTGGACTGTCGTCACCTGGTGCCTTACCAATGTCCTTTCATGTGTCAAGTGTCATGACGGCGAGCAGAGTGTTGTCCTTGCGGATGCTCTAAGTGAGGTGGTGTGAAATAAATTCTGACCTCTGGATAGAACTGCACTCGCCTTTTCTTTTTGTTTTTAATTAATTTAAATTTTTGTTAATCCTCATTCAAGGATATTTTTTCCATTGATTTTTAGAGAGGGAGGGGGGGAGGGAGATGGGGGGAGAAAGAGAGTAACAGCGATGTGAGGGAGACGTCAATTGGTTGCCTCCTGCACAAGCCCCCATCGGGGCGGGGATAGAACCTCAGCTCAGGTATGTGTCCTTGACCAGAATAAAACCTGAGATCCTTCCGTGCTCTCTGGCTGATGCTCTAACCACTGAGGACACCAGCCAGGACTGCACTTGCCTTTTCCAACGAATTTTGTTGGAAGGGAATAAAAGTTTGACCATGTCGAGAAGCAGGCTGGTCAGGAAGCATCGTGCTATCCCCCCAGAGGCATTGTGGGAATACAGACCCAACCAGCATTAAATGCGTATGCAGTAGGGGTTTTGATGATTCTGGGGTCACAGCCTGAAAGAGGGACTCTGGCTGTGCAGCTGTGCTGGAGGTGGGCTGGTGTCTCTGTATTGGAAGGAGCACCGTCCTTGGAGCTGGAAGCCCAGGCTTGAGGGAGCACTTCGTGTGGGATGAGATGGAGACGTCACTGCATCGGAGCCTCAGTTTCCTTGTGTGTCAACAGGAATACACATGTAGACCTCTGCACATGCAGGTACATAAGTGTCCATGATCTCTAATGGCTGTGGAAGTGATGAGAAGTCAAAGGTGCCGTGAGCCCCACCAGCTTTATAGTGAAGGCCAGCAAAGCACAGGGTGGTACTGGGAGATGCTCAGCTTCTTGCAGCATCTTGTCATCATGGTGTCCAGATGCAGCCCTTACACCAGGGGTTCTAGAGAATCTAGCTCTGTGGACAGGACCACTCTGAGGGGCTAGTTGTCATCCTCAAGGGGGTGGACCGTCCTCCTGGTCATCTTAGTAAAGGATGAGCCCATCTGCTTTACTCCCCACCGTGTCTCTGAGGCCAGGCTACAACTTTTCACATCCACCTCACGTTCAAGCACAAAGCACTGGAGTACTGTGCAGAGAGCAACTGGAATGCACCAGCTCGTGTCCACATGCTGAAAGCCAGCTTGCCCTCACTGGCCCCCATGGGGCAGCCTGATCCTAGCCCATGGGGACCTGGAAGTTTCTCCTTACCCAGCCCCAATCCTGCCTCCCATATCTGGGACAGGCCTTCCCAGGATACATTGACAGAGCACCCTGTCCCGCAAAAGGAGATCAGAGAGTGCTTCATGGAGATGTTATATGACCTGAAAGAGGTGAGGGGATAAGTATGTGGGAGAAGGTTTTTTTTTTTTTTTTTTTGAAAAAAAATAGCAGGTGCAAAGGCCCTGAGGCAGAGGAAATGTCCTGGAGGCCATGGACAGTACAGAAGGAATGAAGTGGGGAGCAGGAGATGACATCAGGGAGGAATGAGGGCAGGGAGACTGTGACATTGGAGAAAGAATGATGTCAGAGAGGCCATGACATCAGGGAGGGAGGGAGGGTGGTGATGGGAAGGAAAGGAAGGAGAGGGCTGGGCTCCTGTTTGAGCTTGGATCCTTGCTCTGCCTCTAACTGGTTATGATTCCTTAAACTACTTCACCTTTTAACCTCTCTGTGTCTACACTTTCAAATCTGTAAAGGGAGTAAGCATGGCACTTACCCCAGTGGGCCGATGGGTCATAAAGTGCTTGCGCACCGTCAGCACTCAGTCAATGACCACTCTGCCTGGCCTGTTGCGAGGCTCTGTTCGTTTCTTTCCCAGCAGGGCACCCAGTTGATCAACTTCCCACTGGCCCCCAAATGGCTTTCATCTCCAACTCTATCAAATTTTATGAGGCATTTGCTTTTTATGGATAATAGCACACTCAATTTTTTTATTTCCACTCATTTTTATAAAATGAGAGCAAAATAATATAAATTACTCCAGTAAATTCAGTCTATGTAATAGATGCTGCTGTTGGAGCCAGTGGGCCTGCCCATTAGGAGACCCCGTGTGCTAATCCACAGACCGTGAATCCCGCAGACAAAGAGGGTTGGCGGGGTGAGGGAGGGGCGGCAACATGAATGTTGTGTGGAAGTCAGGGCTTCTCTGTTTTCCATGCCTCACCTGGGGTGTCCCTTGACTTCTTTCATGCAAGAAGTTCTTGCTTCAGACTAGCATCCTCTTGGTTTTGTGACTCTAGAGCCATTTTTAGAGTCATTGTTTATTAGTCCGAGTCACCCAACCACAGTAGCCTCTGTCTCTCATATAATGTGCAATCCTGACAATGAAGTCAAGTCTTGAAGAGACAGTTTGCATGTGAAAGAGGCATGTGGTTGGGAGCCCAAGGTTTATCTCTAAAAAGAAGACATTCGGGAGCAGAATATCACATTTCCATTCATTCTCCTCTTGAATGTCCCACAAGTACTTAAAATGGAACTCACTCTATTAGCTTCCTATCATTGCTGTAAGAAATTACTACAAATACTGTGGTTTAAAACTACAAATTTCTTACCTTATCGTTCTGGAGGAGAGAAATCTAAATGGATCTCACTGGTGATAAAATTTATGACAGAGACCTGATCCTGGACAGAAATCTAAAGAGCCTGTGGGAGGAGCTAGAACTGATGGGAGGAGCTAGGGCCTGTGGGAGGGACTGGGGCCGGTGGGAGGGGCTAGGGCCGGTGGGAGGGGCTAGGACCGATGGGAGGAGCTAGGGCCTGTGGGAGGGACTGGAGCCGGTGGGAGGGGCTAGGACCGGTGGGAGGGGCTATCTTTATGGCCA